GGGGGGGGGGGGTTCATGTTGAACGCAGAAAAAGTCTTTAGAGCAGCCGTGAGTGGCTGCACCAGGCACAGACAGCATTGGTTTACAGCCCTTCTAACCCTCCCCTCCCCAAAATGTAATCCTTTCGACAGAACAGCCTTCATCTTGCCATATTGCATAAACTTGTACGCATCTGCAGACGGCCCAATCACGCAAATACATACAGGCAAAGAAAACATTCGACATAACTTAATTCACAGTGGTTCCAGTTGTAACGTGGGAGCAGCACAACAGGTTGTCCTTTGGTGTCTGAGCTTAATTTCCAAGATAAATATTCTGACTTCTGAACAGAGTTGCATGAATAAAAAGAAATTATTTTATCCCAAATCTTAACTGACCCCCTCCCCCCAAATAACCCGTGTGTGCACATTGTATGCAGACCCTGTGCTGATGTGCTTCTGAAACGCTGCATAAGGACAGAAGGCAGAGAAATGGCTGCAGGGGCAGCCTCCCTCTGTATGACGACGCATCAATGCCTGAATTGCAAAGGAATCGAGGCCCGCCAGACAAAGAGAGGAGCCAGAACAGAGGAGGGAGGACCTCGGAGCGCTCATGGATCTGGAGGTAGAGCTTAAATTGAGGTCTAGAATTCCAGGCAGACAAAGTTCAAGCACAGTCCCCCACAATAACAAGAGGGGCCAAAAGCTGACACAGCTCTGTGGCAGAGACGGGACCGCCCTTTGGCTGGCTGCTTCGCTGCCTGCGCCTGGCCAGCTTGGAGTCGGATGGAGGAGAGAGGCGTAGGGAGGAGCCTGAGGCAGGGACAACAAATGGGACTTGCTGTTGCTGTTGCTCTTCCATGCCGTCTTGTTCAGCCAACTGCCGGTTCACAGCCATGGCCTTGTCAGCGAAGAAAGTCAAATCCCTGGCACTGCTGGTTCTGAGGAAAAAACAAAACAAAACATGAATAAAAGAAATGGTGTTGGAAAGATGTGATCCCCCCCCCAAACATCTTAGCTCTGCCTTCTTACCTTTGATGCAAGATGGACGTTGATAAAGTGTCGAATACACCCTGAGTAGAAAGGAGAGAGATGTTGGAACATTAGAATCAGAGTTAACATTAAAACCACTTGTGTCCACATACGAAGAGGCTCAACTTACCCCTTGCACCCAGGGGTGCTGCAACACCTGGCTGGCACTCAGGCGTTTTTTGGCATCCCGAACCAGAAGTTTGGAAATCAGGTCTTTGGCACTTGGGGAGATGTGAGCCCAGTCCTTCTCAGGAAACTCGTACTTTCCTTCCTGAATACTTTCAAACAAAGTGTTCTGGAAATGAAAAATATTCAGTTATTTTTTTTGTTTGAACCATTAACGTTTTTATTTAGTTGTAAGACAAAGTTCAAGCATTACCTGACAGATGTGACATGGTTCACCCAGCTCCCATCCACAATCGCCACCACAGCGACCTACGAAGGGTGGATAACCACTTAGCATGATGTAGAGGATTACTCCAAGGCTCCACAGGTCACAGCGTTTGTCGTATATTGTAGCCTCTTCGCTGAAGGCCTCAACTACTTCAGGAGCCATGTACTCTGCTGAGCCACACTGAAGAGAAACGTAAAAATAATACATTAATATGAATATAATCTAATGCAGCTAATTTGTGTAGAAAGCAGCTCCGAGTCACTGTTTAGGTCCTGAAACTTTACACAACAAGGATAGACAGAACAGACAGAAATTAGGCCAAAGAGTGAGCAGGGAAAGAGGATTGGTTTTTATGTGGAGCCACAGCTCAGCCCTGGTTAGTTACATAACCTCAATACACAAAGACCTAATGTTTTTGGATTTGGAGTACAGAAAAGTGAAGCAGTCGTTAATTCAACAGGACAGTTTAGTTCTCCCCACCCCCCAAACCTCAACTGAATTTCTACAAGTTTGGACCCATTACATCCTCAATATACCCTTTTCTAAAGCTGCAGCCTACAGATAACCACAGACCATCTCCTAAATAGACAGACGGCCCCACTTCCTTTTATTTTAAAGGGGGCATGTTTACACTGAGCAGGCATTCATTGTGCCTTGGTACCATAAACCAGCTGTCTCTAAACTCCACCTACAGCCTGCTGCTTCCTTATGTAATGAAATTCACTGCACAGGAATCTCATCCCAGACAAAGCTTCTTCTGTCACAAAGTCCCATCCCCCACCTCTTTTCCACCAGAAACACGCCGGGAGTGTCTATTTACACAGACTGGTCCCAAGGATTCATGCCAGGGGCGCCTGCACAAAGTTTTTAAAAGGGTGGACAGATGGGGCCACTGCTAATCATGAGATGGCACATCTAACCTAAAAACAACAGAAAATCAGGAGTTTTATGATGCTGTTGCCATATATAGGCTAGTTAAAATGACTGAATGCCAGATTTAGTTCACCAAATCAATGTGCTCTGAAAGCAAGTGTTCTGTGCATTTAGAGCAAACGCGTATTATACCATTTTCTTTACAGAGCACTTAAAACAGCAACAAGGCCAACCACAGTGCTGTACAGACAGAAAAACAGGCAACATACAAAATGAGGTAAATCAGAATATATCCATCTCACGCAGAGAACTTGCAGTAACATCCTCCCTAAAACCTCTCTTGTAAACTGCACATCGAGACAGATTCGTCTGCATTTCAGCCTGGGGTATTTCCAGAAACCATGTGATCAGTCAGACCATATCACTGGTGATGACACACCTCTGCTGTTTGTACACTCCAGGATTATTGCAGAGGCTTACAGGAAGGAAACCTGTTCCGACATGCAGGCGCACCGGCACTCGTGACAACACACACACAAAGCAGTTCCTTGAATAAACTAAGCCGCTTGTGTGTCTTGTCGTCATGCTCCACTTCCACGCCTTTTTTTAAACTACTGCAAATAAGTCAACATTTACCAAATGCGAGCACATAAATCATTTTACCGAGACTTGGACAGTCATTCAACCTTTAGGCCCTGTACACACGTAGCCGGATATCAGGAAAACCGAATAGTTTATCATGCGGTGTGGCCTTTCATCCACACGTGAACTCCGGTTGATGTAACTATAAACGAATAATAACAAAAACTCCGACCAAAGTGGAGATTTGAGAAATCTCCTCTTTCGGGTTTGCGTGTGGACTTTCGGAACCGGAGATATGCGCATTATGTCTGCGACAGATGGTGCAGCGCGGCGCTGACGTCACATGTGCGACAATTGTTTTTGTTTGCCCATTCATTCGGAGGGAAAATGACTGCGTTTAGGGAAGTACTAATTGTAACGCTGGTTCAGGCAATTTTTGCTTGCTTGTTTTTACAAGCACAACTGCTCCAACAGATGGAATTACAAAGGAGAAAAAGCGTTTGGCGTTCAGCTCTTTTACAGCAACTATCCCTACCGATACGGAGGCACAATACCGCCATTCAGCGTCGCCGTCGCCGGTTTTGGATCAGACCTGGACGCACTGCTGGCTGGTGGGAAAACTTTGAGAAGGAAATTGTTCTCCCACAGGAATGGCGTGAGAACTTCAGAATGTCACGGTCGTCATTACTGTCGCTCTCGGAGTTACTCCTTCCTTACATTCAAGGGAAGAGTACTGTAATGCGATCTCCAGTCTGTGTGGTCAAAAAAGTTGCATGCACGCTATATTATTTGGCTGACGAGGGAAGACTGCGTAAAACGGCCAATGCATTTGGCTTATCAAGACAAGTAGTCTCAAACATAATTAGAGAGGTGTGTAAGGCTATAACTGTGTACTTGGGACCATCTTACATAAAAATGCCAACAACAGAGACTGCTGTGCGTGCACTTGTTGAGGGATTTGAGCAGGCTTATGGTCTCCCTCAGTGCCTTGGAGCTGTGGATGGGACTCATGTGGAGATAAAGCAGCCATCAGCTAATTCTACAGAGTACCTAAATAGGAAGGGGAGGTTTTCTCTTAACATACAAGCCACCTGTGATTACAAGTACAGCTTTATTGATGTAGTTGTGAAATGGCCAGGGAGTGTGCATGATGCCAGAGTTTTTGCTAACTCCACAATAAACACAAATCTGAAAAACATGAAGATTCCCCCCTGTCCAAGACAAATTGTGGAGAACGAAGACGCTATACCCATTTACATACTGGGTGACCCTGCATACCCACTTCTACCTTACCTGATGAAAGAATATGCTAACGGAGGAAGCAATGTTCAGGAGCAGTACTTTGGACTTTCGTTGTGCCGAGCTAGAATGGTGATTGAATGTGCATTTGGAAGACTAAAAGCCCGATTTGGAGCCCTGAGGAGAGCCATGGACATCAATATGAACGATCTTCCATTTGTTATATATGCATGTTTTGTGTTGCACAATTTTTGTGAGGCATCAAAAGACACTGTGGATGAAAACAGAATAACTGAAGCTATTCAACATGACAGGAACAATCAACCGGACACACAGCCAGTGGTCAGAGGAGACAGCTTGGCAGCAGAAGGAAAGCGGGTCAGGAGAGTCCTCACTCAGTGTCTGGATCCATAAACACAAAAACCTGTGAACTATTTAGCAGACTGCGTTGTTTTTTCATAAAAAAACGTTATAGTTAGCACCATGTATGTTAGAGAATTTTTAAATTGTTTTGTGCAATGTTATTGCATTTCATTCTATTAATGCATGAAAAGCTACCACCCAGGATTTAGATACATTATATAATAGTTTGTAGCTCATTAGACAGACTTTTAAGTGAAATGATTTTACTTTTCTCTCTTAAAATTGGACCTGTAGTGTATTAAATAGTGCTGCCAATACTTTCTGATGAACATGACTGTATTTGTAACTGATAAATGTCATATTCACAAAAATTCACATAAAGAAACTTGCTTTTAAAATGTTTGTCAATTTATTCAAACGAACACACTTAACATGTTCTTATTTTGTGTTTCATTTATGAACAGATCAGATTATAACAGATCTACAACAGATAAAGCTTTTTAAACATGGGAGAAAAGCAGCACAGTTACTGTACACTTTTAAATCAGTGATGCCCAAGTCCATAACTTGGGAGCTACCACAGGTACATTTCAGCTGCATTTTCTTCAACAAACCAGTATGAAATAGCTGATTTCAATCATCAGTATGTATTTGATAGTGGTGTTTTGGAGAAATAAATACATCTAAGTAGCAGTAGCTCCCAAGGACTGGACTAGATCACCACTCTTATAAAGATTCACGTAACAAAAATGTAAATAGTTAAAGTATTGTGCAATTGCTACATTTTAAGCTTTTCACAGTATGTATAAAAAGATAGCAAACAGAAAAAAAAAACACTGTCAGAGTAAATAACACTGTGATTAACAACCTGACATGTGTGCAACCTTGTGCAAAAGTGGAACTTGTATATACTTAACTGTACCAGACTTGTTTCGATGTATAAAACAGTACTCTACTGGTCACTAAAAAGGGCCTGACTGAATGAAAATTGGTCAGTGGCTTCAGCAGGTGTGTGGAACACAGCTTCAGTGTTCATAGTGTTTCCTGGTCTTGTGTTTTGACGTGTTCTGTCAGAAGTGGAGTTGTTTGGGTATGGGTAATTTGCTGAGTTTTGGTGGACAGAATGGTGGGCCATTGTGTGCGAATACATCGGACCTCTTGGCTCATATGGCATGTAGTGTGGTGGTTGTGCAGGTGCATGAATGACCTGTTTCAGAAGAGAAAACCCATCAACAATCGATGTGGTAAGTCTTTCCAGTGTATTGGACATTTTTGAATAGTTTTCGGATGCTTTTTGTTCTGATGTCTCAATGATTTCCACCAGTCTCTTTTTCACACGCTGGTCTTCCTCAAGAGCATTCAGCCACTGGGTCTCAGCAGGCAGCTTTCTCCTCAGACGGTCGTGTCTGTGTCCTTTTAGTTTTGCCTTCAAAAGAGAAATGAAAATCATCACAATTAAACATAAAAAAGTAAACCTGGATCATGTTGATGTTGTACTTTTCACATCACTTCTACATAACAATATGTAATAACAGCGTATCCAATGTTTGCTATATGTCTTAAAGTGTATTTTGTACCCACCACCCCATCAAACTAATGAATATGTAGGCCTAACATAATATGAGATGAGTAAGAGCATGATGGTGTCATTTCTTTTTTGCAATAATAATAAAAATAAATCAGCAACCCGTACACAGTAAAATATAAAAAAACATCACATTCCAGCCTCCACTACACACCTCAACTCTTGCATAATTTTTAACACACATATTGCCTTAACTGTATTTTTAATAGCAACACAATTCAACAAACCTGTTCCGTGAATTATAGTACATCCAACAGATGAACATTTACAGCAAAAGTACTTTTATTTATGAGGAATGGACAGAAAAATATACGTACATCAAGCAGGTCTCTCCTCTCCTTTGAAGTAGGACCCACACTGCTTTCATTATCAGACCCTGTGTCTGCTACATCCATGGTAGTGGAGGAAGAAGATGTGGATGGTGAGGGTAGGGTCCGAGAATGATCCAGGTCAGCTGTTTCACTACCGGAGGATATGGTAGTACTAGCTGGAGAGCCACCCCAGATTTGTTCGCACAGTTCGAAGTACAGAAGAACCACTCGACCGTGTCCACTCCTGCGTCCTGTATCAACAGCATGGCGATATTTACCTCGGACTGCTTTCATTTTTGTTGTTAAATTCCCGCGCGTGATGTCGGCATGTGAATGGGGAAACTCGTCGGAGGACTCCGTTGGGTAATGCTCTAAAAAAAGCGCTAAAATATCAACATACTTGTTCTGACAGGATTCCCAGTCGACATTTTCCTGAGTTTTATTAACTTTGTACTCCAACACGGTATTTAATAGTAGTTCAACCTCGCGGTCTGTCCACACAAACGAACCTCCAGGCGCCATGATTCAATACTAACAGGAAGTTGTGGTTGCTTTGAAGGGTTGTGATTTGCTGATATACGTTTCACCTTTGCACTACACTGCCTCCTATGGGTTGGGCATATTCTTTACAACGCTCTGTGGTGAACATCACCGGGTTCATGTAGACGATCATTTTCTCTATCCGAACATGTATGTACGGCGATATTTTTTTGCGCGGATATTCGTTTTTTCAAACACCAGGCTACGTGTGTACAGGGCCTTAGTGGAACTAGGAGACTGGGGCTGCAAGTGCCGATGGGAACATGAAAATCAGATAACGCTCAGGGATCGAGGCAACAAAAACAAGACAGAGTGCACAGACTGTGCATTTGTCCCTCCCCCACCGCTGGTTTAACCAATCACAACGCGGTTGCTAAGCGTCAAGGGAAAAAGACCATAATTTCTAGAATGAGCACAGCAGCCATTGTACTAAAAAAAACAAAGAAAGCGCAAACTAGCACAAGTGTGACTGGGGGTGGGGGGTGAACAGTCAAAAGAGCCCAGCCTTCACACCACATACAAAAACAAGGAAACGACGATTGCATTTGGATGCAACCTTGAAAGTTGCATCTTCACTACTTTATCATAAATCCTTGCGTTTCCCCTTTGTTTCAAACGTCTCTTTTTAAAGTTCTGGACACGCTCCATAAAGCTCCACGTGTTGAAAGTCGTCCAACATTCCTCCAAGCTCAAACACCCTTCACCTGCTCCGTTCAGTCTACTGAGCCCACCAGACAACCCGCTTGTCGACACACCAAGAGAGCCTGCCAGTTCAACTTTACCAATCCTTTGAAGCACGCTCGTTTGGACACTGTTCAGAGGCGATGCCTTTTAAACAAAATGAAGGTTAAACAAGCTGTAACCTCCAAACTCATATTTACTACTGATACGCAACAGGACGTTGACTTCAAGGGCTCCATTTCACAGAGCTGCTGAACTTTAGCAAAGGTAATTTAAAATTGGGAACATTCAGGAAACAATTCACAGCATTTTCGAGGAAATACAGACATGAACCGACATACCCTTAAATCTTTCTCAATCTGTGACCCATCCTGCAGCTAACGCCACTGGGAATTACCCAATAGGCAATCAGCTGGATTCAATAAAGATTTCCTTTACAACCTGAAAAAACACCCTTCTTATCCACAGCAAGGACAGTATCTGTGGCCTCGGTTAGATACAACAAAAAAGCAATGAGAACTTACAGGAGTGAGTAGTTCAGGAGTAGAGATGGGTGAGCTGTCACTGTTCAGCTTGATTCCACTGCCCAAGTCAAAGTCACAGATCTTGACTGGGGAAATCTGTTAAAAAAATAAATTAATTAAGACAATTCCAGTATGGGGAAAACAAGAATGGCGATAGGCTATCGCCACTCAGAGTTTATTACGTTATATACCCCCATTAGTTGCTCTTTGAACCAGTAAGGCTGTAAACTCACCTTGTCTGCCCTCTCACAGAGAATGTTTTCAGGTTTCAGGTCTCTATGAGCCATTCCTGGTGAAAAACAAAAAACATCCAATAACTTTTCTCTGTTAAAAGACTTGGCTTATGAGGTAAATGTTAGCAATAGCTGCTGTGCCATTTTAGCAGTAACCAGTTGAAGCCAGTAGTCTTACCTTTGTTGTGGAGGAAATCTAGAGCACTGGCAATGTCGTACACAATGACGCTGGCTTCCTGTTCACTGAAGTGCTGTCGCTTGTGAATTTGTGCCAAAACTGACCCTAATGTTGGGAGAACAAGCATGATTTGGTTGGTTTTAGGACTAAAATAAAAAAAAAAGAGCAGAGAGCAGCTGCGATAATTCACTTACCTCCTCTGAGTTTTTCAAACACCAGGTAGAATTTGTCTTCCTCTTCAAAAAACTCAACCAACTCCAGGATGTTCCTGCAGTGAAATAGGGAAAAAAATAAATTAGTAGGAGCTCCAGTCAACTTTTAATTCCTGAATTTTTTTTTATATATATTTGGGGGGGGGGGGGGGGGCACAACATTGTTAAATGGGGTATGACCACTAAATACGATTTGAAATAAAATAGCAACAAGTTACCTGTGGCCCTGGCACTGGTAGAGCATCTCAACCTCACGGAAGACTCTGCTGCGGCTGTGACCTGGTCCTTTTTCAATGATCTGAAACAAAACAACCATATTAGTGAGAAATAATCACCAATCTTGCAAAACTTTCAAAACAGAGCTCATTTCTATAATATTTAGAGGTCTGACATTTTGTTTGCACTAAAGTAAAAAGGTTGCAACTTCTAAACTTTACCCCATTTTTAGCTTCCAATGATTCTTAGGAGGGCATAAGTGTCTATTAACATTCCACAACCTTCTGCAAAACAGTTTATGATAACAGAAAATGTTTTTAAAATAACCACACTGCCTGGAACTAAACCACAGAAAGGCCAGCAGCTGCACGATACGCTGCCAAGAGAGTCAAGGATAGACTGCTGACACCAAAGCAAAGGGCCTGAAATTTCCAGCCCTGGTTGGTTATTGTCTGATCGGGAGGCCGTGCTTGTTTTTCTTCCTGGAAGCTGGATTACAGCTGGTATTGAACCAGTGAGGCCCATGTTACCGAGAGTGTCTAGGAATAACAAGACTCATGAGCAGCTGAAAGCACGGTTGCAGTTTTAATTAATATAAAAAAAAACTGGCTCAGTTAAGACATGATATTATAGTTTTATTTGGTTTATTTGAAGTTTGAAGAAAAAAAAAAAAGAGACAAATACATTATAAAAAGGGGGGCATAGCCAAATTACCACAGAGCAGCTTACTGAATGGAAACTCGCACAAAAAAAAAGTATGTCCAAACATTAACCCAGGATTGTGAACCAATAGCTTAAAGAGTCGGCGCTCTGAGACAATCACAGCCGTCTGCTTGTCCTCGAGTCTCTGGAGCTTTGTTACAACTGCAAGATGAGGAGCGCATATAAACCCACCACAAAACGGCTACGTCTGGAGGGGGAGGGGAGAGACAGGACATCTGGCAGCAGTCTGAACCCTCCTCCAAGTCTCAGACTTCAAACAAAATTAAACCAGTTTGTCTTTTTTGCTTCAAGACCACAGAAGTCATGACGTGTATCCACGTCCACACCCCGTGTAGGAGGGATTAAAAAGTTTTTAACTGTGCCAAGTGAGAACAAAGCAGCGTAAACACCCAGGGTCACAACCCTCACTCGTCACTCACCCATTCTGTGGGTTTTGTTTTGGAACAGTTAGCAGTACATAGTGTTCTCACTATCAGCGTCCTCTATAGGCAAAAAGAGTAAAAGGGGGTGTGCGTATACAGCAGACTGCCCTGATAGGCTCAAAAACTAACAACAGAGAGAGGAAGTATCAAATGGCCCCAGCAAGTTACATGCTCGAAACAGTGCAAAAGTAGCACAATGGAGGTCCTGAAGACACCCACTACAGAGAAAGACATCCTGCTTACTAAAATACTGCATTTGGAGAATTTTAAACACCATATCTACTAGACAAATAAATGTTATGTAGCAACATTAACATCTGATATGCATCGTGGTTAAGTGCCTTACTTTGACAGCATACTCCTTGTTGGTGATGAGGCTGATGCACGCTTGTACTTTGGCGTAGGCACCCTCTCCTAGCACTTCTTCTTGCAGTCTGTAGACGTCTGTGGCAGGATGACAGTACATTTATTATTCAGATGTTTGGTTAAAGTTCTCCATAACAGCACTGGAAAGGGATACTTGCCTTCAAATCTTCCAGAGAAACTGTCTGTTGCTCTGCAACGCTTTTTCTTCTTGTTTCTCTTCTTGGCATCAGGAATGTCAATAGGCTGGCTGGAAGGCATGTCTGACAAAAACAGCACAAACCGTTGAGTGCACACAGAAGGGACTAGACCGAAATCTTGGCATTACAGGTTTAATGCGTTATTGTTTGTACTGATGCAATTTAAAAGATTTACACTTACCATGTCTTGGGGAGGAACCAAAATTAAATGACTCAATAAGATGGGATCCATTTTTAGTGAAGTCCTCCGATTCAAAGGGATTTTGTCCCTAAAGGGCACAAAAATATGTTTGTTATTGTGTGCAGACTTAAAACTAGGTCGTAATCAGCAAGCTATAACTGATAAAAGGTTCCTGAAAAAATAAAGGCAAAGTACAATTTATACGTCCATACCAAGATAAGAATTACAGATAATGCTTGAGGATGATAGAAAAATTCTTAAAGAGCCCCAAACACATTTAAGCTATCCAGTAATTAGATGCACGTGCCATCAACCCTTATGGGACAGCAACAGAAGCGCTTATATTTAGCAAAGCTGATAAAGGTGCCGATTACAAACTTCTAAAAATGAGCCATTATTTTTAGTTCGGTTAAATTCACCTTGAAGGAGCGGTGGAATCCGGTGACTTCGGTGATCTTGTTTTGCACCATTTTTCTTTTTATGTTTGGACTTCTGGAGGGGGTTTTGTTGGAAGGATGTGCGGCGGCAGTGGTTTGCGGTGTATCGGTTTGCGCTTCTCCGAAACAAGAGTCGTTTCCGAGAGACAAGCGATGACACTGCGCTGGCTGGTCGGCTCGCTGCGGCGCTTTAAACGGGAGCCCTGAGTGGACAACACAAGAACCGCATCGTTAACGCCCCCGTCACTAAAACAATTCACACAAACGGCTCAACCGCGAGGATGAAATCTACACCATTAAAAAAAAAAAAAAAACGATAATTTGATTCAATAGCTAATTATTATCAAACGGCTAAGTATTATTGCATGTTTGAAAAGCACGCTGCCCGCAGTGGGTAAACGGCTGCAACAGGGAGGCTAACGCTCACTGCTAACCTAGCATAGCATGCGTGTTGACGTAGATCAGAATTTAACGACAAATAACGGTTATCTAGTGCTTTAATGTGTTATTGATGCAGCAGAGTAAATAAATTCGCCAAAACCAACTTTTAATATAAAAAATTAAGCAAGGAAGCACAAAAAAATTTAATAAATCAAAAATAGCTGCAATTAGCTCGCTCGATGTACTCACTCCCGTTGTTAATTTTACAGCTCCAGCGTTAGCGTCGTCGTTGTTTTTCGCCCCACTGCTCCAGCAGACGCTGAGGGCCGTCACAGAGGTGCTCGCCTGGTGACTTTGTGCGTGGAAGGTGGCTGGAAAGCTACAGCGTGGGTGTTTTTATAACCTTCTTTGGCTCCGCCCTCTCCGAAACAGCGTCAACTTGTCAACGCGCTAGACGGATCACGTGCTTTCTAGAAAAGGAAACCCTGGCAAGGTTCCATTTCATTTTTACAGTATCCTATTATTCAGAGCATTTTTCCTAAAAATAATACAACAGATCAGCAACTAAAGGTGGCACACAATGACAAATAAAAATATGGACTAACTAGGAATGTCATTTAAAGGAATATTACATTTTAGAGTTACGTTTCTAACACAAAGGTCGTATACTGCACGAATTGGTACGCGACCAAGCGTGCTCTGTTTTGTTTTAGAGACCTCACACAGCCGTACGTGTGGGGGAAGGAAGCGGAGTACGTGCATGTGGGCACAGTCAGCACCTCCCAGTGTTCTGTACGATTTTAGCGGTGACGGAGGGAAATGGGTTGATAACTGGACTCAAATCACGAGCTGTGATTCTGCAGCAGAGCAAAACAAAGCAACAGGAAAATTGTTTTGTTACAAACAAGACACAAACGGTTCCATCTCTTTATATGTATCTATAAAAGCAAAGGTAATAAAACACTGAATCATACCTTTTAATTTCACAGCTGCATATATGACTAATGACTAGAAATCCCCGCCTGCTCTGCGCAGCCTCACATATCCTTCCATGCAACACTTCACAGAGATTGCAGCATTAGATGTTTTTTTTTAGTATAAGAAACTGGATATAAAGTTAATGTGAGCATAAATATGATGCAAGTGTGTTTTTTTATTATAATGCTCAAAAATATTTTCTTTTTTTGGTTGCCATGTTGCTGCTTTAAGGCAAACTGCAACACTTTCTGACTAGCTGAAGGAGCTGAAATAAAGTTGTTAAAGCTATAAGAAGCAGAATTTAACTTAAAATTAAAGGTTAAAAAAAAAAAAAACACTAACAAGCTAAAAAGGCAAAATGCCTAATCCAAAAGTAGCAAAGCACGTAAGCACTCCCTAAAACCAACAACAAACTAACAAAAGCTAAGTAGCACTGTGACAGCTAAAAGTATCAGTTTGTTACTAAAAAGTAAAAGTACCAAAAACAAACTAAAATCTGTAATTACCACAAGGCTAGCTAAAGGTTAAATAAGCAGAACAATAGCTAAAAATAGCTAAATTAAAGCTATAAGTAGAAAAGAACAAAAAGTTGCAAAAGTTGATGAAAAGCTAATAGCAAAATGCTAGCAAATTGCTAAAAGAAGCAGAACAATAGCTAAAAGTAACAAAATAAAGAAAAAATAAGTGGTAAAACCTAAACTATGCAAAAGGCTAAATAAATTTTTTAAAAAGCAGATCATTAGCTAAAATCTAAAAGTAGCAAAGGCTAATTAAAAGTATTAAAAAAACAATAGCTAAAGCTTAAAGCAGAAGATTATTACTCAAAGCTAAAAGAAGCAAAGGGCTACACGCTAAAAGTAGTGGCATAAGAAGACTAAAATGCTTTGCTGAAGCAGATAAAAAAAAAACGTTTTTCTATGGGGAAAATATTAAATGACATTAAACATTTGTCACAAGCACAACAGCCATCTCCTAAATGAGCTAAACATTTTGATATATGGCGGCTAAATTAACAGAACTATCAACATAAGTTGTTAAACTGCAAAAACCATATGCAAAAAAGCAAAACAAAGCAAAACAACAGTGTCAACATCGATTCATCATTTTTTTTTTAAATACAACTAAAATAGAACCAAAGTGCAGAATTTGCCTTAACTGTGTGATTTCCAAGTATTCAATAAATGTAAATATATGAATTAGAGTGGGCGAGAAGGTTTGTAAACAAGCCAGCTGCAGCTCCTGTCCTCTGGGATGCACGGTGATGCAGAACATGCGTGTTTTGGAGTCGAGATTGCTCAGATGAGGGAGGTGATGATGTGCCATAGTTGTGATAATGAAAGACATCCAAGAACACTGATGTTGCAGAAATTATCTCTCTACAGACCCATCTGCTATAGTGTGAGGTGCCACAGCAATACATTATGCTTCTGCAGCATGTCTTGAATATCAAATTAAAACTGGGTTTGTGTGATTTGTGTGTGTGTGTGTGTGTGTGTGTGTGCATGTAACTAGTCATTTACAATATAGTGCTGCATTTGGCAGGAAGTCCTCCAACTTCTATGTATGTAGGTGATTCTATCATTGCATATAAACTTCACTGCAGTACTCTGAGTAGCATTGATATATTGTTTATCAAGGGTAGTCAAAGCCATGTAAGGCCTGCTGTCAGCGATCAACAGTCTTGTGACTGCGGCCTCTCTCCTCCTCCTCCTCCTTTTAACTTTTGCCCCTCAAACATAAACCTACCAGTGGCAAACATTACGCAAGCTTTTGGCTCAATTATCATAGCCAAAAGCACACAGTGTAGTCGAGGCTTGCAGGCAAACAAGATCACACTTGGGAGTATTTGAGTCGGGCAGGAGTTACTACAGGTCAGAAGAAACTGGACTAGGCCGATGAATGAATGCATGTTGACAACAGCTACATTTAAAATGTGAAAGGTGCTCATGCAGGAAATGTTCCAGGAGCGAAGGGCTATCCTCTTTTTAGTTTGAGGCATTCCAGTCTGAAATGTAATACAACAGAGGTTGTTGTGTACATCATGCCAGTAGCTCTAGCTTGGAGTCCACAATGTTCTTCCAGGAGTCAGCCTTTTTCTTTATTTCTTTATTTTGGTATGTTGTTTTTTTAGGCTATAAATATAAAATACTGCACAAAACAGCTAAAGCATTGTAAGTGGATTCAATCTAGCCCAAAAGAAACAAGTGCTTGAAAGCTGCTGATGCAAAGAAGGCATTAAAAAGCACTAAAATGTGGGAAGACTGAAATGTGACATAAAACTAAAAGAAGTCAACATAATCATGTCGATCATATTCTACATCGAGGAAACTAAAGCAGCCACTGGCCAAATGGCCCAGCACAGAAGAGCAACATCATCTGGCCAGGACTCTGAGATCTTTACTCATCTGCAGGCCAGGGATGAAGATGTTCACATCCTTGATAGAGAGGAACATTGGTTTGAGAGAGGAGTAACAGAAGCCATCTTTGTGAAAAGAAACCATCCATCTTTAACCAGGGTCGGGGGTCTCCATGTTCAACTTCCACCCTCTTACAATGCTGTAATTGCAAGCATCACTCAGCCCCCTGTGAATAGCAAGCGGCCATCTGGGCACCAACGATTTATTGTTAGGCTGATGGTCCTCCTTTTGCATGTGAACAACTAGTTCTGGCTGTCAGCAGCAAACCGGTTGGTCCACTATGAGAAGGCGCTGTTTATAAGACTGAGTTTGTTGCAGTGTTTCAGACTGAAGAAGTCTTTTGGCTAAATAAATGAAACGTTTCAACAAAGAAGAATCTGTCCAGCGCACCTGACAACCTTGTTAGGTATCATGTTAACTCTGTTAATCAAAGGCAGCTGCGAGAAAGTGTATTCTGTAAAATGCTGCGTGGATGCTGACTGCTGAAGTTTACTGAAGAAGCTGAAACCGAGTGGCTAAAAAAGCAGAACACTAGCTGAAGGCTAAAAGTAGTAGAACACTAGCTGAAGGCTGAAAGTAGTAGAACACTAGTTGAAGGCTAAAAGAAGCTGAACACTAGCAAAAAGAGCAAAACACTAGGTAAAAGCTAAATGCAGCAAAATGCAAAGTAAAAGTATAAAACAATAGCGAAGAAGCCTTCATAAAACTCAATAGCAAAATGCATAAAATCCTAGTTTAGATGCACAATATGCTGCCTAATAGCTAAAGGTAGCAAAGTCTATCCAAAAGCTAAAAGTAGCAATAGGCTAGCTAAAAACTAAACGTAGCAGCAGAAGATAAAAATAGAGCAGGTTTGCTGAATCAGACTTCAAACTGAACAATGGTTCTGAATAAAATGAAAAGATCTCATTGTATTTCAGTGGAGGAAAATGTTTGTGAATGAAGTTCTCTTTTTAAAAAGTACAAATGTTTAAAAACACCTCATGGGGAGCTGTGGCTGAGTGGTTAGCAGTCATCCTCCAATGGGAGAGTTGGGGGTTTGATTCCACCAGCAGTCACATGTTGAGGTGTCCCTGGGCAAGACATTGAACCTCTCATTGCCTCTGATGTGTGTCCCTTCATATGAATGTGATTTAAAGCCCTGATTAGTCTCTTTAGAATGATTTGTTCAGATTACTTTTGTAGAGATGTAGAGTGCTGCATGAATGTGTGTGTGGAGGTAAATGAGGAGACAGACTGTGTTGACTGCTACAGTCCATCCATTTACCATCTTCTGAATGCGATTCACTTTTTATTTGGAAGACTAAAACAACACAAGTAATTAAACTACAAAAAATAAAATAAAACCTGTAGTGTGACTGCTGAATTGACATTCGCCCAATAAACAAAAGAAAAGGTGAACACTTCTCTTTGGCTACAGACAATGTGTAAAATATGAAAACACACCGAAACAGTAGAATGTCGTACAAACAGCTTTCTTGCAGTTTGGACAGGGAGCGCAGGTGAAAACGTCCCTTCATTCACGAGACGGACAAACCTGCAGCGTGCATTCATAAGATTCACGTCGTGCTTGAACAAATACCTCAGTCAGAGGCCGAGAAGATTAGAGGGCCTCGTGCAGCCAGCAGTCTTACACTGTTACAAGAATTTGCATACTTTTCTGGAGCTGGAAGGTCACAGCGCCTCTGGGTGCTGATGACACCTGAGGGTAAAGCCTCCCATAAACATCGTGCGACTCACAGGAAGGCAGCTTCCGGATGGAACGACGTTAACACAACATCTGGCAGAAACTGCTGCGTTTCAGGTTTTACAGGAGCTCACTGGACGACTGTTACGATGAAAAACAAACGCTCTGACGCAAAGTGCCAAAACATTTCGCAACTACATTTTTTGGGTTCCAGCTTTGCTTACACAGTTTTAGAACTCTTTGTATTCTTTTTTTTTTTTTTGGATCTTTGCACTTTGTTACATAACCATGTGAGACAAACTGTTTTCAGATCAATCATGTCTTTAAAAGCCTGGAACGCTTTTTTGGAATCAGCAAAAAAACCCAACAAAAAACAGTCTGGGTTTTTGTCTTCTTATAGTTTCTGAAGTTCTGCCTGTAACAAACATTTTTATAATGTATAAGATCAGTAACTTCACATTTCTCTTAGTGTCCCTCAGAAGATAGGCCTTGTTCGGTGCAAAAGCAGCACATGTTTTTAGTGGTTTTGAAGGAGATGCTTGAAATGTTTTATTATTATTCCATACTCTGTCAAAGGAGGAAGTAACGTCGTTAAACTTCCTGAAAATGTCTTCGTCTTGGCCTCTCTGAACCTGAAATTAATAACATTTAGATCTCGTCCAGCTCCGTCAACATGAGACATTTCGAGTCACGCGCCACAAAACCGTTAAGGGCGTGTGCAGAACCCAGCGCCTGCTGAGTCACAGTATCTTCCCTTTTACTGAATAATCATAATGTACCATCAAAACAACAGTCAGACATACTGCTGCATGAAAACACAACCAGTCAAGCTTTCATTTGATTGGCTGCGGCCCTTAATTCCTCCACCCTCACATTGTAGATGCAGAGCCCTTTAAGGCCCTCTGGTACATTCCAGAAGAAAAAACACAGCGAGGAGGGAGGAAAGGAGGAGGGACGAGCAAAAGGCGGGCTGGGTTCAGCACATCTCTCACGTAATGATGAGGAAAACCACGAGTGGAGCGTTCAGAGGAAGTGGGAGGAGAGGCGGCGGAGGAACAATCCTGTAAAAGGCTCAGGTTGCAGGAGGCAACGAGGTCGTTTCGGTGGGTGATGTTACCCGAGCAGCAGGTTACATCATGTTTGTTTCTATAAAACATGCAGGATTCAGTCAACCCTCTCATGTTTTCCAGCTTGAATGAAGGAGGTGAAACCTTATATATAGACAGAAATGCAACTGGATTCAAACCCTTCACTTGGAATATTTCATATCGGTCATACACGTTGAGGTCAGAGAGGTGTAGGGGGTTTCCCGGTGGGAAAAAAGCCACCTGCTTTCGCTTTAACACGCACACTGAGAGGACTTTTAACAAACAGAGATAATTCTGACTGCTCCATGATCACAAGTATCGACACAAGAGGATCAAATCATAACCATCATTAGAACAAGAGTATTATTAAAGGTGTGTTGTTATAGAGTTCCCTGTCAAATCCAGAATTGAATTCAAAATCTTACTTCTAACCTACAAAGCCCTCAACAACCTAGCTCCAACTTATATTACAGATCTTATTGTTCCATATTTTCCTAACAGAGAACTTCGCTCTCAAACTGAAGGCTTACTTGGGGTTCTTAGAGTTTCCAAAAGCAGAATGGGAGGAAGATCTTTCAGTTATCAGGCTCCTCTGCATTCTGGTGTTTATTTTTCTTTTGCTATTTTGAATACCACTAGATCGCATGTGTCATTCTCAAGGCCCGTGGGCCAAATCCGGCTCGCCATAACAATTTCTGTGGCTCTCTACACCCCAGAGGGCCACAGAGGCAGAACGTCAAGATAACAGTTGTGTGCTTCAATAGTACTTTATCAGTCAAATCAAATCAGTTTTTATGTTTATAATGCCAGATCTGTTCCTATCTAACCCAGCTGGTCAAAGCAGATGGCTGCTTGTCCTGTTCTGCTAAAGGTTTCTTCTTCATAAGAGTGTTTTTTCTTTCCACTGTCTCCTTCGTGCTTGCTCAAGATGAGAGTTCTGTGATGGAGTTAAACTCAGAGCAGTCTGCTTCTCAGATAAATAGTGTTAAATTATTATTTTTATATGTGAATGTTTCTGTTCAGTGTCTGAGATGACTTCTGTTGTGACTTGGCGCTATTTTAATAAACTGAACTGAATTGCGAGTTAGTAACTGATTGATGTCAGGTTTTTACAGTAACATGGCAGCAGCACGTGCACGGTCAGAGTCAGAGAGTTTATTCCCCCCACGGCTATTTCAGTGTTTGAATTCCTTTACGCACACATCGTGTAGGAGGATAAGGAGTGGCAGCAATCTGCCCACCATCTCTAAGCTTATTCTTAGATAGGACTCTTCAGTGCAAAACTCATTTCAGAGGTTTAAATTGTAAAAACACACTTGTTTGTTGTCTATTATCCATATATCTCTAACACTGTTGATTTCTGTCTATCTCTAGTTGTGTAAATGCTGATTCAGCATTCACATTTTGTCACTTGTGCAATTCTTCTGCACACGTGCTACGTTCAGCTCATTCCGGAGATGGATGCTGTAACTTGAAGGTTTTTACCTTTTTTTTTTTTACTTTTTAAAATATTTACCTTTAACAAGTGAAATATTTTTTACCCCTATATGAACACATTGAGATCTCAGTTTCTTTTGCCACTTTTAGTGAAGCGTTCTGCTTCTTTTAGCTTTAACAGTTCAGTTTCATGTGGGCAGTCACTGCTGTTTCACAGGAAATGCATTTTCTTTAGTTTGATTTGACTTATTGCTCATTGATCAAGTCATAACAGTGGATTATTTAGTACATTTTAGAAAGTGGCTACAGAAATATAGTGTCTAATTTCAGCTTGGGCTCCACTGGCCTTTAAGATGTGCAGAGCTGCACCCTGATGCAACGTTGTGTCAGAACGCTGTAAATACCTGATGACTCAGTTCAGTGAAACTTTGTGCTCATTGCCACTCTGTGCTTCTTTTTATTACATTACTTTCCTCATTTGTTTCAGTGTGTTAATTTGTTCACAGCAATATCTTGTGTACAAAAGGTAGATTCTAATGAAACGCTCAGGGACTGCTGGATGAATGTCGACAACTGATTAACATTCGGTGCCAACTCAGTTCAAGATGGCCACCACAGCTAAATCAACCTTTGGCGATATAAAACTGATGTGATTTTACAGATATAACAGCTGATATTGGTGCGGCAGTAGCTGAGTCTGCATCAAATTAATTTTGATCAAGAAAATTTCCAGGACTTTTTAATGGATTAAAAGCTTTAGAAGCTGTAGAGTCCATCAAATAAATATTTCCCTCTATAAACTTATAATTTGAATAAACTGGAGCAAAACATGGGATTTGTGTTTTGAAATTGCTCCAATAGTTCATCACAAACAAATACATCATAAACTGGTCTCTCTTGGAAAACCTGAAATGCATTTGTTCTAGAATAGCGCCGCTCAAGGTGGCTGCATGTTGGAGCACCTCTGTTATTCATTCTGAGATTTTGCTTATGGAAACTTTAATTCCTCTTTTTCTGGATGTAAATCACATTTTTTGGATGATTGTTTCCTCTGGTATCAGATGCTGTGCAGCTGGAAAGATTTTTACTGAAACTTTTGTTTTGGACTTTTGTTATGATGCGTATCCATGACAAGGTGTTTTTTTTACAACCAGGAGCAGCTGATTAACATTTCAAAAGCTCAAATAATAGCTCAGCTACAGCCCCAAATCTCATGAGTTGAAAAGGAGGCTCCATGGAGGCATTCCCGTCCCCTTTCCAGCTGTGCTCGAGTGCCTGACCACTGAGATCCCGGAATTGGCAATAAATGTGGCTCGTGAGAGCAGATGGATCGAGATCGTCCCCAGACACCTGCAGCCGGCTGTCCGCAGCGACGAGGAGCTTGACAGACTGCTGGGAGGAGTGGTCAACACTCTGGATGGGAGGAGTTCTACCCGGCATTGGGTAGTCCTGCAGCCTGGGGGAACCGAGAGGCCAGCCAAGTCTGGGTGGATGAATCGGACAGCATCTGCGGCCACTTTCTTTGGATTTGCTGTGTGACAGACCTTTACAAGAGATCCTTCCTGCCTACAGCCATCAGCATCCCACATCTCTTAATGAAACGAAGATAATGAGTTACATTTAATTTCCCTTTGGGATTAATAAAAGTATTTTTGAATTGAAAATGAGTCGTGACTCAATGAGACTAACCTGTATAAATAAAGATTGCATGAATCGCACTCCTTTAAATCTATTTTTCCTCATCTGAGCTTTAATTCCATTACAAGTTGTTTTATTGTAAAGACACAATTGCATTAAGCTTTTTAGATAAAATTTTACTTTATTTACCAATTTCCGAGTTATTTTACTGTAAAGTATCAATGTAATGGCTTATTTTGGTTGTATCTCTCTTAAATGTTCATAACTTATCTCATCAAGACTAAACGCTGCCTCTAAATCTTCATGTTTTTCCTCAGACACGTTCAGGAGCGGTGACTCGGTGCAGAACGGGGTTCATTCATAACAAACCTTCCTCTGTGTTCGTCACAGTACAGTCTGGCCTGTTTCTTACGTAAGCGGCTCAGACCAAATCAGGTTCACGACTATAACTGCTCCACTGGGCAGATTTCGCAAGAGCTGCAGCAGTTAAATGTAGGATAACAGGATTTTCTCAACACATGCAGCTTTTGGTGCCTGACGCCACCTGGTGGGAGTTTGTGTCCAAGTTTCCTTTGAACATGAGCGTTGATGCGCGAGGCGTAACCTTCACCTGCCAAGCGTATCTGCAACAAACACCAGCAGGTTTGCCATCTGAGAAGATACCGGGTGGACGGAGGCCCAGAGTGTAACGCGAGACGGCCTTGATCACGTCTGAGTCACCGGCATCGTTTTTTTAAACGAGCTCACACGATAAAAACAATATATTTATGTTTGCGAATAAGTAGCCTATAATTCAACGTGCTAGAAGAAAACTAATAATAATAATCTGCATTACTTAAAACCAGTCAGTTTTTATTTAAATACTAATGAACTGAAATTAAACAGAAGAGATCACTTTAATGTTACAACAGAGCGATTTTATAAACTTACAGTAAGAAAATCTAATTTGAGATCATTTTAAGTCAAGAGAAAGTTGATTGCATCCAGGAATGATTGCGATTCAAATAAAATAGAAAAACATGAACACACACATACACCTCTCTTAATACTGTGCTCCAATGACAAGTCTGAATGGACTTTTTTTTAAAAAGAAACAGAACGCCTCACTCTTCAATGTTCTTGGTTAAAACCTACAGTATGTGGCTAAAATAGATTACAGTACTTAAATATAAAAATAGACTCTGAATTTGTTTGCTCTTTGCACTCGGATTCAGTCTTGAAGATGGACGGAAGCGTTCATCCGATGTGTCCGCGGATCCCTCAGTGGCACATTCGAGCAGTCATCTCTTTCTGTTTACCACACAAACACAGGAACACGGCACAGATGATTAGTATTATAGGCCTGGAATTGTTAACTCTGTTGTAGACACATCTTAACTAATGGAAAAAGAGCAGTTTTTAGAAAAAATAAAGCAATCAGACAAAAACAAAGAGAGTAGAGCTGTTTACAGCTTCGCTAATCACACGACAAGAAAATGACTAATCACAACATAAAAAATGGGTCAAAGAAAAGGTCAAAACAGAGTTTACAGATCAACCAGAGAACTACTTTCAGATCAGAGAAATATCAAACACGCAACATTCAAACATGACATAAGATTCATAAATCCCTCAGAGGGAGGAGAAGGCATTAACAAGCCACACAGCAGTGCACCCATCAACTGGAAGGATGAGCAAGAATATAAAGTTCAAAATGATCACATAAAATACAATTTAGCTTTTTAATTATTGTGACAATGCAGACTAAATCACATCAGTGGAAATGTCTGTTTGCTTTGGAAACAAACATGAAATAAAGTCCTAGAAGGCTCCTTTGTTTACCTGCATGGGTGGAAATTTCCATGCGTTTATTATTATTAGCCAAAAGCTAGTTTGCAGAATGCAGATTTTGTTTTTCATGCCTAACAGCAGGAGTCAACAAGGTGTCAAATTTATTTAAAAGTGACAAGTTTACTTTTTTAAGACCAGCAGCAACTATTTATTTGTAGTAATTTAACAGATGAGTGCAAATGAAGGTGGGCAGAATAAGTATGCTTTTAACATACAAATATATATATTTTTAAAGGTGTTAAGAAACAGTGTTGCTCTTTGACCACTAGGAACACTGACATCCTTCTGCTGTTTAAAAACATTGCTAAATTTCCTCAACAAAACTTAATCTAGGTCAGATGAACTAAAAATAAATAAATGTTTATGAACTGTAGAGTATCAATGTGTAAAATTTAACATGATTTAAAATAATGCAAAAACTTCTTCAGAATAATATTGCACTTTTTCCTTTTTAAGCTACCAATCAGCTTTTTATGATAACTTTTGCTAATTTTAGGTAAAACTTTATAGTTTTGTTAAGACTTTTTATGCATTTGGCTAACATTTAGCTACTTTTACCTTTAGGCCACCCTTTTGCTACTTTGAGCAAGTATTTAATTTAACTAAATTTAGAATTAGAGATTTGCAACTTGAGTTTTCAGGCACATTTTAGCTCAAATTTAACTTTTTATCCAGTTTTAGCTAACATTTTTTTCTACTTAAAGTTCTAGGCTAGCATTTATTACTTTAAGTTTTAAGCTTGAATTGACCATTTTTAGCTTTTAGCTAGTTTTGCTTTTTACAACCAGAGTTTACTTCTTTTACTTTTTACAGTTAGTTACTTTTAGCTTAAGCTAGCATTTTAGTTCATTTTAGCTTTAAGCTGGATTTAGCCAACATGTTGCTACTTTTAGCTTTAGTTTAGTTACTTTTAGCTTTCAGCTAGCATTAAGCTACAATTAGCTTTTAGCTAGTTTTGCTTTTTACAACCAGAGTTTACTTCTTTTACTTTTTACAGTTAGCTAGTGATATGCTACTTTTAGTTTAAGCTAGCATTTTTATTCATTTTAGCTATAAGCTGTATTTAGCTAACATTTAGATACTTTTAGCCTTTGGCGTTTTGTTGCTTACTTAGCTTTCAGCTAGAATTAAGCTAGAATTAGCTTTTAGCTAGCATTTTTTTTTACCTTTTAGCTTTAAAAACTATTTCAACTTCATCAAATCTCACCAACACTGCATTTTTATTTTCTCTAGTTCTACCTTGATTCATAGTTTCAACATTTACACTTCTACACTTGTGACTTTCTATCTGTTGGACTCACCAGAGGCTCCAGCTCTTTGTGGTCCGTCAAGTTGAACTCGGTGACAAAGTAATAGAAATGCTTGTAGCAGGTGTTGACGTGAGCCTCCGCACCCATCTGGGTGACACGGTCAAAGTGGTGGATGTAGACGTGGACAAACACCCGGAACAGACGTGACAAAATCTTCTTAGCCACCTGCATGAAGCACTTAGGGAAGGGAGTACCTGGGAGTCGAGCAGACAGAGAGAGCGCTGCAGTCAATCCATGAGACTCTCTCACTATTTGCACCACAGAAGAAAATGCATTTAATATGATGTATTTCACATAAAGTCAGGTCAACTGTTCAGTTAATCTTTCCTCTCAGGCCCCACAGATTAGACACCAGCTGGCTAAAGGATGTAGCTAGTTCGCCTCATGAAAATCACCATGACTTGATCTGCAGGATAAACCTCAGCTCTGAGCAAGATATTAATTTAATGCGTCATTTTGCTTTGACCAAATTAATATTTGAGGAATTAGTTCAAGAGCACGAGCAGACCAGAGGCTGTTTCTAATCATGGAGCACTGTGCATGGTGTGACCCATTTTTTTAATCCACTGGTTGGATGTTTCTGTTGTTAAGTCAGCTGCTGAGCCACAGCACGGGACATACATACATGCACAGAGATAATATCCGACCAAGAAGGCCACTGACGCAGATTATCCCAATCTGTGATGTTTGCAATGTAAAACACGGCAGATAGTCTGATGAATGTGGCCTTGCAGAAATTCTGACAAACACTTCACATTTTGAATGCCTCTATTCTCTTTGTGACATTGTGTGCCTCCTTTTTTTAGATTTCCTGTGCGACTCAATCCCAGTGAATTGGGCTAAAGATTACTTATTTCAGTCAGTTATTAACCAAGAAAAAACAGCTGACTTTGTGTATTTTGATCCTTAAAACTATTTCAACAACCCTCACTCTCCTCCCCTTTACATATTTTTAATCAGGCTCCATAAACGTTCACAAATCCATTTTTGTTTTAAAGCAAATCGTTTCTTCATGATTGTTTTCTGTTCATAATTTCAAGATCTAATCTAGTTTCAGACACCTATTGAGGCATCCACCCATATAAAATACAAACCTATTAATTATTGATTTTATTCAAAACCTGAAAGTCTGCAGACTTTTGACAAAGACCGAGTTGTGATTAAGTTCAGTTCAGTGGATTGGCTTATTCTGTGCGAGTTTAACTATTTGAAATGATGATTCATTCTAAGTTTTTACTTAGTTGCAGTTATGGGACAAGTCAACGCCTTAATCTTAACACCTTGTCTGCAGAACCGATAGTCTCATAGGGACAGAAAAGTCCACCCCATGGACACAATTGGGAAATTTTAGCTCACTGATGTGCTGAATGCAGGAATGGCATTTAGCATAACCTGCTGAGTCAAATGTTATATATAAAACCATATATAAACATATATTAAAAAAAATATCAATTTGGAAGACTAAAATTAGAAAATAAATGGTCATGAAGCTTGGACCAGACGTACCAGGAATGAACAGAAATGAAATACAGCAGGACATTTTCTTCAACATGATGGCTAACTTACTGTATCTAGAGCAATGGTGTCCAGTACTTTGAACTGGCTGATTTGTAGCTAACCTCATTACTTACCAACATTAGTGGGGAAGATGTTCTCATTGTTGATTTGTACCTCGATCCAGTCCATAAGCAGGCTCATGTATTTGGGCGCAGGCAGGGCAGTTGGTCTCTTGTACTTGTGCTCGTCTTGCCAGCGGTATTCGTACTTGGGCCCACCGGACATGACGGGGCAGGTCTGATCGGTGCACGAGTCACTGATGGTGCCGTAGATGAGGTTGATGCGGTTAAAGAAGTCGACCACATGGACCGCCACCCAGTCGTTGAGGTCCTCACCGTGGGGCAGCTGCACAGCCTGCTTCAGGTCTAGGCCTGCGTTCAGGGACGCCTGCGCCTTCTTGTGCAGCTCGAAGCGCTGCGTCCCCGGCTCGAACTTGCGCTTGGGTCGAAATGTTCTGTCTTTGTTGAAGACTTGTTTCAGGGCCGTGGACATGGTCGCATGTGATGGTGGTGGGTGATTTATTTGAACGCCTTTGGTGAATTATTCACTGATGAAATTGAAGCAGTTAAAGGGTAATGTAAAAAAAAACAAAAAACTATGGTGACGTCGTTATGGAAGTCTTTCGTATTTGTCTGAAACCAGTCTGGGATTCTGTAACCCTGCAAAGAAGAGAGGAAAAAGGTTAAATTTGGTTGATGAATATGCATTTGCACCAACGTGCACATTTCCTGTCAAGCTTGGCTTTAATATTTACGCTTATGTTTTGCAGAATAGTAAGGCTATAATTAGGAACTGTTTGTTCGTTTTTAATTAAATGTAAAACAATAATGACAAATGTAAATATTGCTGACAAAAAAAAAAAAAAAATCACTTTTTTTCTATTAACTATTTAAAAGATATGGATGACTTTTCTTAGCAAATGAATTTCAGACAAATACAAATCTTCCAGTATTTATATAAAATAAAAATACACATCTGTGCCAATTTAGTCTATATATTACTGTTACCTTCTTTGCTTAAATAAACAGGATAACATCATCGGCTTTTAAAGAGGTATGTTAAGATAAAGAAACCTCGACATTATCGTCATGACAAGATGACACTCGGACTCTGTGTTGCGAACAACCCTCAACTACTACCACACCAGGTTTTAACTGAATATTTAAAACTGAGCTACGACGATTAGCTGTGGCAGCCACTTTGAATTAAACTGCTCCAAAAGTTAGCCAATGAATGTTGATACACCGATTACTTTTTGAACATTTCATTAAAGTCCAATTTAAAAAAAAATATCAGATAATCAGTGTACTCAGCAATTAATACTATAGATTTAGGCAAATGCATTGTGCAATGACTATCAAAGTATGTGTTGAGGATGACTCTCTGCTACTACCACTGCATGTAGGGTCATAGATCACTATTAAATTCATGTTTGAACGTTACCAACGATGCAGATACAGTATTTCCACTTCCACGTTAAAGATGAAAAATGGTGTCCGAATGAGTCATTTCCTATTTCTGGCGCTAATTCCGCCATTAAAGTCAAATCAATCAAGTAAAACCGGAAGTTTCCAATACAGCGCTGAACTGAGTTTATATAGACTTCCATGTAGAACCTCCTCCTCTCGTTCCTTCATATTAACTCGGGTTTTAATCGTTTTTAGCTCATTCTGGCCGGAGATTCGACAACACGAAGTTTAGTGTAGCCGTGACGCCAACACAACAGCTAACTCGACGGGACTTGTTGCTCCCAAACAGCTTAAAACTGCACCCGAACAAAACGCGACACACCTGCGTTATCCACAGTTATTTAACCTGTTCAATAAAACTACATTTAAAAACAACAGCGTCGTTTTATTTCATTCGAGAAAGCTCTTCAAACGGGGACGACGCCGCAGAGTTCAAAGGCACTTTCCCCGAACTTACTTGTTCCGCCTTCCTGTTTCCTTCGATCCGTTTTGATTAAAATTATCTGATAATCTGTCGATAGCTTCACATTGACGGCACGCGCGGCCTACGAGATGGACACGCGTCGCAAAACATGTTGTAAAATTACAGATAAAGCTGTAAATATGTCACTTTAACACAGAAACAAATGTCCGACTCCTCCCTGCGTAGCGAAAAGTACACGGACTGTCAAGTAGGAGGCCTCGGAGCCCACTTCCGGTTGAGACTTTCAAAATAATGGTAATCCGGTTCGCGCGTGGAACAAATTCCATTTAAATAAAAATAAAGTCTAGAACAGGGGTGTCCAAACTTTTTCTCTAAGAGGGCCAAATTTAAAATCTATCAGAGGACTCGGGCCAAATGCAATAATATAATGCACGAAATGCAAATACATATTTAAGTAAAGTCCATTACAGTTATTTTTCATTCAACCTTTATTTAGACTGGTACTTAACCTCCCATTCTGTATAAAGAGCATTACAGAATCCAAAATATAACAAGTACGTCAGTCGTATATAAGAAATTAAAACAAACATTGAAATTTTGGCATTTCAGTAGTTTTATGTAGTGCAATATGTCAAAAAATGCATGTCCTACAGCAACACAATTTAACAGCAACATTAATTTGAACATAAATAAATAGTCCCATTTATACGATAGTCAATGGGCCAACTTTTCCATCTAACATTAAAGTCAGTGGAATGACTGAGTGAAAACGCATTGATTTTTCAAAGGAAATTTTAATCTAATGAGGACTGCAACCCAAATGGCTTGGCGGGCCTACTTTGACCCGCGGGCCCCCCTTTGGGCACCCCTGGTCTAGAATGGTGGAAGGAAAAAAACAACAAATTAGATTTAAATAAAGTCTAAAACGCTGAAAAGAAAAAATAAACGTGCCAGATATCCACAAATATGACGGAGCTTTAGGGCCACGATAAAAAACAAAACAAAACCCATAAATTAATCTGGAGAAGCCTTGGTATAACAAATTACCATAACTCCTAAAAAAAAGATGAGCTGCCTGAAATAAATTACTGCTAGAAGAACTGCGCTGCCTAATTAATTACTGTAAATTTGGGAAAGGATCTGCTGCCTTAAACAACTTTCCATGAACACGAGTTAACATAAATACATTTTAAAAATATTTTATTTTGCTGTAATTTAACTACTTATTTCAGATAAAACTCCATTTGGGTTTGTCTCCTGACTCCATTGTGCCATTTGGGAACCCCTTTTCTAGATTACATTTAACCAACATAATTTGATAATGCAATTATTTATGTTTTCTACATGTATCATTTAAATGGGAGCCCCCTGCTTTGATCTAAACATAAAATTTCATATAGTTTTATTTTAGAAGCTTTTTTACATACAGCATTTTTCATCAAGCATAATCTCAGTAATCTGGCAAATTAACACAACAATACAACACTATACTAATTTGCATATTAACATTTGAGAATTAACATTCAAAAGACTGTTTTTAAAGCTTTGTTGCATCTTAAATACAGTATGCATAAAAAAAATCCAAAACTTAATGCAATATGCAAATGTTGACTGCGTTTCGTGTGAGAAAAGATCATTTATGATTTGCACTAAAACACCACTCATTCATTTTTTTAATTTTATTTTCTAGAAGGACATTTAGTCACATCAGTTTTTAAAATCACCGGATTAAAATTGTCTCAAATATTTTCTCAACAATGAACCAATTTAAGGTGCTTTTTTTTTTTTTTGTGAAAACGTTATTTTGAAGAATAAGTTGAAATTGTAGGGATCTGCACCTGCCCTGCTCTGTGCAGATAGTTAATGACTCTCAGGTGCCACGTATTGTGTTTAATTAGAGACTCCCCTTTATATACAGTGCTCCCCTGCATCTCAGGTGCTTTAGCTGCATCTTCACGGTCGTCTCCTAGTGCCTTGGTATTTCCTGTTTTTCCTACAAATGCAAGTAGTATCGCTGCCCCGACAGCATTATTTGTTATTGTTGCCTTTTTGTGATTAAAACGCCTTTTTTGTAACCTCGTTGGAGTCCTGCTTGCATTTGGGTCTCAACCACTGCCCAACCGTGACAGAATGCTCCCCTCATCAAAGAGACCCAGCAAGTAGCTCCACTTTTTTGAGTGTTTTTCAAGTAACACAGGAAGAACTGTGCATCGAGAGAAAAGAGAGTTGGACAGGAGATCGCCTCGCTCTTACCTGGCACACTCCATGACGGCTTTCACGCCCTCAAGGTTTCCTGCTCCGCCACCAGTGGACTTCACTGCTGCAGCCCCTGTGGTCGCTTCCAGGCCTACCGCAGTCTCCGTAGTTTTTAAATCTCCTGCAGCCTCTGAGTCCACGCCCCCGGTGGGTCCCACGTCCTCAGTTGTTCCTCTGTCGGCGGCTACTCCTACACCTCCAGTGACTCCTGTGCCAGCCGCTGCTGCTCCTGAGGTCACCACGTCAGCTGCTGCTCCTCTGCTGGTTCCTGCCTCCTCCGCTGCTGTCGCCTCTGAGGTCACCGCGTCAGCCGCTGCTGCCTCTTCTGGTTCCTGTTGTTGCGCGCAGCCCCCGAGGTGGACCTCCCTTCCCATGCTCCGAGGGGGTTCCTGGCGGACGCTCCTCACTTCCCCTGCTCCGAGGGGGTCCCGGCAGACGCTCCTCACCTCTCCTGCTCCGTGGGGTTCCAGTCGGACTCCGCTTCTGCTCCTTTATTGTTTGTTTGTCTTTTGGAGCCCTCCAACCTTATAGTTTTTTTTTTTTTTCCCCCGCCACCCACCCAAGTTGGGTTGGGGTATTTTGGAACGTCAGGTGCCATTTATTAGAGGGGGATACTGCAGGGATCTGCACCTGCCCTGCTCTGTGCAGATAGTTAATGACTCTCAGGTGCCACGTATTGTGTTTAATTATGCCCCTTTTCCACTGTCACGGTGCGGGTCGGATATTTCCGGCTTCGCGTGTTTGAGGTCTTTCCACTGTTCCTGTGACCTGCTCGCCTCCTATTCTGGCCCGGCTTCTCAAGGGGTCCAAGCAAGCCGCGCCGTGACGTCAGAAACACTGTCGGTCACTGATTGGTGGGGGGGAGGAGTCTGTGGAGTCTTTCCAAAAAATCCGAGCCACCATTTATTTTTCTCTACCCTTGCCATTAGCGATAACACGAGGAGCGTATCTTTTAGCATTTTAAAGCTATAAAAAAACAATATCAAAGCTGTGGTCAAATGCAGAAGTGCAGGTGTTGTTGTGCTTGGTGGCCGACGAAAAAAGTCAAAGCGAGCTAGATGGAGGATTGGAGGGTGGTTTAAACACGGTTACTGCTCTACTTGAACCATTTATAGAAGATGGTGAGTGTTTTCTAACTTTAAACATATATTAAGTTACTCATCCCATCGGTTCTAAACGTATATTTTTAACTAACAAGAGGCTGACGCCATAATAGGACAACGTCGGTGCTACAATGCTAAGCTAATTTGCATAAACGCTAACTGTCCTCGGGTCCCGTTCCTCACTGTATTTTATCCAGAACGTATTTCAGCGCGTGATGGTTCGTCTATAAACTCCACATTCAACCCTCCAAGCCTCCCGGCTCCTGCTCCATCAGAGGAGTCTGCACCCGACAGAGCTCCATCAGAGGAGTGTAGTGAGTTACGTGGGTACGTGTCACTAGTTGTAGTATGACAAATATATGAGATATATGCATACTTTTTCACGAGTTCCTCATCTTTCTGACTGTGTAAGTCGTGCATTGAATTTTAACAAAAATGTAATGAGAGACGTTATTATCTTTGACCCATCAAATGAATGTGGTCATTTATTTTCAGAATCAAAGTTTAACATCAAACATTTACATTAATTTGGCAAAATATGAAAATAATAACAGACAAGTTTCACAGAAAATGAGCATCGATCACTCGGCGGTGAACGAGGACTTTGCTTCAGATATTTCTAAAATATCTGTACTGGTTTTGTGAGAGAGAGAAGAGTTTAAGATGAAATGGAGATTTATCTTACAGAGAACTATGTGAGGGAATTAATATCTGTAGACCAGAACGTGCACGCTTCATCAGATCTCAGCTCGCCTCCGGTACACTTTAGTCGAAGAAGAGACCGTTACCTGGTTGATGATAGATCAGCTCGATAGAGAATCCTCCAGACTTTTCAGCGTCTCCGTTGAGAGCAGCTAAAATCCTTCGAGAGTCGTGCGTGGGTCGTTCAAACAGAAGTTATAATTCCAAACGTCTCTGACTCTCCTGAATTCTCGAATTCTCTTCCATTCACTTCA